AAGAAAGAAAGAAAGAAAGAAAGAAAGAAAGAAAGAAAGAAAGAAAGGAAGAAAGGAAGAAAGAAAGAAAAAGAAAAGTAGAGTTGTAACTGTAGAGGCCTTGCCTGGCATGCAGAGTGACAGTTTCTATCCACTGTATGACCAAAAGAAGACAGAGGAAGAGGTAGGAAAATGGGAAAAGAAAGAAAAGAAGGGAGGAGTTCTAAATACTTAATGATGCTCTGACATGGTTGGTTGGTTGGTTTTTAGACTAGCCTCAAACTTAGAATTCTCCTGCCTCATCAGCTTCTTTAGCACCTGGTATTCTAGGGAATGTACCATAACCTGCTCCCCAGGTTTGCTTTCATTTTTTAGAAGCCCCTTGAGTTTCACATGTGGCCCTGAGCCCTGTGGGCATGAGCCCTGCCTAACTCCCTCTGACATAGGACTTTGTTCAGCTCAGCAGGAGCTAGAGGTGGTTCCTATTTCTAACTTTTGCCTTCTGTCTCAGTATTTTTTTTAATATTTATTTATTATTTATTTTATGTATATGAGTGCTGTATCTGCATGTCTGCCTGCGGAAGAGGGCATCAGATCTCAGTATACATGATTGTGAGTCACCATGTGGTTGCTGGGAACTGAACTCAGGACCTCTGGAAGAGCAGACAGTGCTCTCAACTGCTGAGCCATCTCTCCAAACCCCTCAGTATTTTTAATGTGTAGTCTTCAACCATTCTCCTGGAAGACCTTTGGTTCCGAGGACTCCACACACTGCCTAACCTGTCCTAACCTGTCCTCTTCACTACTACCAGACAACTAATTTCCTTAAACACTGTCTTCTTTGGGCCCCTTCACCGGCTATCCAGAATCCAGTAGTCCAGCTATTCTGTGTATTTCTTCCTGAGCATTTTTTTCTACGTAGAATTTCTGATGATCTCCCTTAAACGTTTATGTACAATAAAGGTGGTGAATAAAACCAGCCTTCCTCCCAGGAACATTCTCATTTCTTCCCCATCTTGTAGTTTCTGCCTACTACAGCCCTTACATATGCTAACTGTGGTGGTTTAAGTAGGAATGGCCCCCTAGCCTCCCGTGTTTGAATGCCTTGCCCAGAGGGAGTGGTGCTATTAGGAGGTGTGGCCTTGTAGGAGTAAGTGTGGCCTTATTGAAGGAAGTGTGTCACTGTGGGGGTGGACTTTGGGGCCTCAAACTATGCCTAGTGTGGCATTCACTTCTGTTGCCTGCAGATTAAGATGGAGAACTCCTTCTCCAGCAGTGTCTCTGGAGAATATCCCTAGCATGCAGCAGGTTCTCAATATGTGCTGACAAATATCCCAAGCATTACTTGGCCATAAGAATGATGGACCCCTCTGGCTCTGGCTTTCTGGGGCCCCAAGTCACAAACATCTGAGTGAGTAAGTTATCTAGTGTTGAGATAAGTTACTACTGACGGCTAGAAGGTCCATTTCCATTTGTGCACTGTTTTTCTCCTGATGAGATGGCTTTATAAGTCTATAAGTCTTTGTTTCTCGCACACTCAAAGCAGAGTCAGAGTTGCTTCAGTATCACAGGTATGTAGAGCTAGCCAGGGCTATGGAGAAAATTGCAAAAGCCATGGTGGTGTAGGATGCCTTTGTGACAGCTGCCTTTGTGGAGACTGAAAGCTGCAACCACAGGTTTGGGCTTGCTCATCCTCCGTGCTCTTGTTTTATTTTGTAGAAAAGATTTGGAGAATGATCCAAATTATATCAGGGACGATGCAGAATATTTGAAACTCCAACCTCTCTCCTTTTCTTAGATGTGAACGACTAGAAGAGCAACTGAATGACCTGACAGAGCTTCACCAGAATGAGATCCTGAACCTAAAGCAGGAGCTGGCCAGCATGGAAGAGAAAATCGCCTATCAGTCCTATGAACGGGCCCGGGACATCCAGGTGAGTATGAACAGTAAGTGGGAAAGAAGAAAGGGAGAGAATGGGCAAAGACAGGAGTCTAGAAAGTCAAGAAATGCTATCAGTTGCAGCACATCTGCCTTCACACAGTGGAGATACCTTTTTCAGATGTTCATGCCATTTGGGAAGGCATAGCTTTAAATGCTGGCAAATGTCTCCAGAAAGAGCAGTCTCACTCTGAGAAAGCTAGAGCGCCCCATCTGTTAGTTGCTGCCCTGGAGCTGCTCAGGTGGATCTTCTGGTCATCTTGCCTGTCTTCTGCTTCTATGGAAAAGAGGTTTAGTTCCTGCTCTCTAACCAGTGGCACATTACGTGATTTTTGAGAATCCTCCATTGTCTGTGGATTTGTGAGAGACCCCAGCAATGAAGTTGAAGGTGAACACTCACTTGATTCCAAGGAAAAGTGAAACATTGGGGTTTCTCTGTTTTCTGTGGAGATTCAGTCAGAGGTTGTGGTAGGTTTTGTGAAGGCTCCTATTTAAAAGCTAGTATGGAGAAGAGGAGGTTGTAGCATACCCACCCAGAGGAATCAAGGCACTGTCCGTACTCTTTGCCCAGCTTCCATATTCCTTAGGTCCTTGAATTCTGTTTACATTTTTTTTTTTCATTCCCATGTTATTTCTGGAGTGAGCGAGCAAGTGGCATGATCCATTATCCATTCTTGAGCTAGCTTCAGCCTTAAGTTATCTGGGCCTTACGTTACATCCCAGGAAACTAACAGCCATTGAAACCAAGGCTGGAAAAATCCCATGGTTCCAACCACTAGTTGGCTTGAGAGGATATCTGTCCTTTCTTAGGGGATGAGGTTTGGTTCCGTGAGTAGTAGGATATAATTTATATAAGGCGTGGCCTTAGTAGGGAGCAGGTCATCTTTATGCTCTCTGTAGAGTATCTATCTACCTTACAGAGACTGACCTAAAAAGGGAATGTTACCTCCTTACAACAAGGTCACAGTTCCCTTTCTCCAGTCAGGGATTGTCTTGACCTAAAAACACCAGGTAGTATGTTAGTGAAGCACATTCAAAGGTGTTCATTGCATCATTGTTAGAGTGGAAAAAATCAGAAAGAAAAAAATTCCTAAGAGGGACCTAACTGGTGGGCTGTGACATACCCATACTATGAAATGTTGCATAGCAACTAAAAAGTATGTGATAGGACTGTCGAGATGGCTCAGTTGTCAAAGTATTTGATTCATAAGCATAAGGAACTAAGTTCAGATCCCCAGAACCCACATAAAAAGCCAGACATTGGAGCCAGCTAGATGGCATAGCAGGTAAAAGTGCTTACCTTGTCAGCCTGACAACTGAGTTCAGCCCCCAGAATCTGGTCAATGTAGAAGGCAAGCGCAACTTCCTCGAATTTATCTCCAAACCACTACATTTATGCCATGGCACACCCACACATACGCAAATACACACATGCTAGAGTAATAATAGTGATAATTTTAAAGCCAGGCATAGTGTCATGTACTTGGAACCCCAGCAATGACAAGATGAGACAGGCAATTCTTGCAGCTTACTGGTCAGTTAGTCTATCCTCCTTGGCAAAGCTGCAGCCAGTGAGAGGCCTTGTCTGAAACAAAAGGTGGGAGGTACCTGAAGGACCAACACCCACGGTTGTCTTCTGACCTTAAGTTATGGATCACAGTAGAAGCTATGCACATTATGGTAGGAGATGCCTGTAATAACCCCATGCTAGGCAAATGCATATGTACAGTTAAATACAGGTAAAAGGTAAACATACCAGTTTGACAGCAATACCACAGCAACTGGGACTAGAACTGACAACACTGTGTTTTAAGTAAAACAAGTGTATGTGTCTTGTGTACCTTAGACTCATAATTCTAAAAGAATAAAAAACATATAATTGATGTCTTATCATTAAAATGTTCTAGGCCATTCAGTAATGATGGCACATGACTATGATCTCAACATTCAGGAGGTAGAGGCAAAAGGATCTGAAGTCCAAGGTCATCTCAGCTACATAGCAAGTATAGGCCAGTCTGAAATACAAGAGACTCTTGTTTTAAATAAGTAAGTAAGTAAGTAAACTCTAGGCAAAATAAAAGTATGTCCACTGCTCCCCAAAGCCATTCTCCCAGGAGTGCAGTAGAGGGAATAGGAGTAATGCCACCTGGGAGAGCTGTGCATCTGGCTTGTCATATCCATATTTTAAATACTTGGCATGGCTTAGGATCTACCTGGCTCCCGCGGCATGTCCAGCTGTAATTCTGAGAACAGAAGCCTAACCATCCCCTGTTTGGCCCACAGGAGGCCCTGGAGGCCTGTCAGACCCGTATCTCCAAGATGGAGCTGCAGCAGCAACAGCAGCAGGTGGTGCAGTTGGAAGGGCTGGAGAATGCCACTGCCCGAAACCTTCTGGGCAAACTCATCAACATCCTCCTGGCTGTCATGGCAGTCCTGTTGGTGTTTGTGTCCACGGTAGCCAACTGTGTGGTCCCCCTCATGAAGACACGCAACAGGACGTTTAGCACTTTATTCCTTGTGGCTTTCATTGCCTTTCTCTGGAAGCACTGGGATGCCCTCTTCAGCTACGTGGACCGGCTCTTCTCACCCCCCAGATGATGCTGGCACAGAAAGCAGTGCTCCTCACCGTCTGGCGAGTGCATGCCAAGAGAGCTAGACAGCAGCATTACCCACTCTGAAGTTTTCTACAAGAGAGTTGAGTGAATCTGTTTACATTTAGAATAATGTTTTTTTTCTTCAAGAGACGCAATTGCAATAGTATTTTTTAGATTTTATCCAAGAAGTTTTTTGGGCAACAATCTTGGATCATTTTTATGTAGCATGATTTTCCTTGGGATGCAAATCTGAAACAGTCCTTTAACATGAACCAACAATCCGCAACACACGGAAGGGCATTCTGAATCGAGGCTTGGAGGACTGCACTAAACTCACTAAACAGATGCAAAAACCTGACCAGGCCCAACACCCGCCCTTTCTGGGCTCCTCTCCTCATCCAGACTAACTCTACTGTGAAGTCCCACCACATTCCAGGTTGGATTTTAGATTCAGGGTGGATTTTCCTGCCATGGAAGAACACGGGCATCAATCTCCCTCGCTTTCTCACGCTAACCCTGAAGTATGCTCACTTCTGAACCTGTGCCTTCCTTAACTCTGCCAGGATTGGAAGCAAGAGCATCAAGCCTGTAGGGTGACTGCACAGTCCTGTTCAGTATTGTGAAGTAGCCCTTAATCCTAACTTTTAAGCAAAATCCCTTGGCCGCACTTTTAAGGTTTATTTGGTGTTTTTTTGTTGTTGTTTTTTAATATGTGTATAGTTACCAACTTAAAAATAAAAAATCCGAACAACATACTTGAAGAATGTAATACTCAAACTCTCAGTGCTTCCTTATAATTTCTAATAGGATTTTTTTATTATTGTTATTATTATTGGGGTTTGTTTTGTTTTGTTTTTGGTTGGTTGGTTGGTTTATTTGGGGGAAGGGACTGGATTGGGATGATCTTTTTTTTTTTTTTTCTTTTTTCTTTTTTTTCTTTGAAATAAAGCAGTGATGTTTTCAAATGAAGCCGTGTGGATATTTCAGCGTGCTGCCCCCTATTGTCTTGAACCAGTTGAGTTGGAGACTGTTGCCAGTGCTGCCCTCTGCCACGCTGTGGCGGCCTGGCTCTCTGGTGTCTACACCCGCACAGCACCGTCTCCCCGGCTTAGCTTGAGTAGAGTGGCGAGCGGTTGCAGGGTGAGGGGCAACAGTCTGCACAGACTAGTGTGGCAGGGCTGGATTTTGTTTTCCTCCCAAATAAGTGTTCACCCAGTGATCTTGGGCTGGGATCTCTTCAAGAAAAAAAAAAGCTACTATGTTATAAGTCATAAATAATTCCTTGTGTTTGCTTAATTTATTGATTAACACTCCCTAACTTCTGAAACCAAAGTGATGTGGAGTCTTGTCTGCATTTTGGCCTCAGCATCCTTAACTTCAAAGCTTTATTCTGTCTGCCTGAGAGGATCAATTGAAGATGACTCTCCCAAAAAGCAGAAAAAGAAATGTCAGGTTAGAAGGGCCCAGGTTCTGGGTGCACACTGTTGCAAGCTTCCTACTAACCCAGACTGACTCACTAACCTATCTGCTCAGTGGCTGTTTAGAGACACTTTAGGAAGATAAGCTGAGCTTTGCCCCCATCCTGTAGCCCATTCCATCACCCAGGTGGAGCCTGAACCAACCTTCAGAGCAAACTAGGGAGCCTGACTAATCTCATATTGTTGGAGGTCACGAATGCCATTCTAATGGCCTCTTTCTGTGTGCCCACATGATGCCAAGGGGTCATGTACTCTGCCCTAGACAGAGAAGTATGCTTTGCTTATGTCACCATACCAGGACCTTCTTTCAGACCAGGGCTGCAGTGCCCTCCCTGTCTGTTAGAAGGGATGGTTTACACAGCAGCTCCAGCCTCCTTTTGCTTTGGCCAGTTGGCCTTCTCACTTTGATATTTTAACTCAGGTACCCAGTCTTCACTCTATCCCCAGATCGTTGTTGTTCACCTCATAATGAGCACCTAGAGCAAGGACCAAAATAATAATAATAATAATAATAATTAAAACCAATGCACATTCATGCCAAAACAAATGGTCCCCAAACCTATGTTTAAAAGGTTAACTGTACCTGAAAATATTGCAGCAGCTTCAGGCGAGAATGCCATGGGGCACTATGACCTTGCTGCACTAGCAGTTGCTGCTGTAACTTGGTTGCTCTAATACAGAAGAGCTGTGGGAGAGAGGAGCCAGCAGCAGCCCACTGGCTTCTGTAACCATCCCGCAGGAGGGCCCCCCCCCCCCAGATGCACTGTGATTGCTAAGCGGAAACTGTCTCTAATTGCCTGAAGGCAGTTTCTGTTGAAGGTAGTCTGGAGCTTCAGACAGACAGACCTGCACTGATTCCTAGCAGACTGTCTTGAGAAGGACCTTCAGGACAGGCCCTGTCATGGCTTCTTGCTGTCTTATCCACTGCTTACTCACCAGGCCCACAGCTGTCTGCACTCAATGCTGTTTGTAACACACATCTGTTATCCTGCCTGCCTGTACTTTTTTGCTGCCCATCCCTGTTGCCTTTGAGTTTCTTGGAATCATGGCTGTCCTTGGACTCGCTTTTCTATTCCCAGCCCTTCTATAGCCTTGCTCTGATGGTTTAGCACTTGATCTGAGAGAAGCTTGCCCACAATTTAATGCTTCTTTTCCTTAAAAAAATAAAAAAATAATGTTTTTAAAATAAAATTTTTTAAAATTCCATTAAAGTGAAGCATTCCTTGATTCCCTTGTCCATGCTGGTGCCTAGCCTGGGTGAGTGAGGCTGGCTTTCTTGGCCTAGGTGACTGTTGTAGAGTTGGCCATCACTCTGCATTGTTGGTGGCTGTCTGCTCTAATTTCAGGTCCCTGGTGTACTCAGTGCATCTCGGCAAGGAAGGCTTTCTGCTCCTTAAGAGGTGCAGTTGGATCCATCGCTGACGGTGCTTCTTTAGCCCCATTCCAATTGGCCTAAAACATTTGTCGCCAGAACAGTGGGGTGAAGCCTTCCTTGCCAGCCATGTCTGACTGTGAGCATGCTTTGGCGTGGTCTTCAGTGCATTTGGTTTTGTTTCTGCCTCTGTGTTCTAAGGTAGTCAGTGATCCTGGATTCTGAGTAAGTATTCAGTATTCTGGCCTTGTCACCTTGGAGAATACACATCTCAAACAAAACCAAATGCTGTCGTCAACAAGCCAGCACAGGTGAAGTGATGGTTCCCACGCCACCCCCGATAAAACTGGGATTTTGAATGTGGCTCTACAAGTTAAACATTTCTGTGTGCTGTGTATGCTAGGTGATACCCTCGGAAGGGACTGACTACTAGACTGTAAGTGTGTTTTATACAAGCGTGTAAGATTAAAGACTCACATGCACGAATTGCAGAGTAAAGAGACGATACTTGTGAACGCGTGAACGTTAACACTGTAGTTGCTAGATCTTAAGCTGCTAATTGTTGAGAGAGAATTCACTTATGTTCTGTCTGGCTGCTGTGGAGTCTCAGCAGCGCTTTGCTGTACATAAAATGGAAATAAAGACCTCAGCTAGAAACCTGCCAAATGACTCGGGTCTGGTTTGTTTTGTTTTGTTTTTATTTGTGCATAGCCCAATTCTGCTGCAGGTGCATCTGTCTGGAAACTGTGGTTGTGGGTTGGGGTGGGAGAGAGATTGCCACACGAGTATTTTGAAACTCTGACAACCAGGAAGTTGTCACAGCCTCTGAAGACCTTACAGGCATCATTCCAGGTTGGCATTTCCCCCATGATTCCTTTAGGCTGTCAGTTAAGACTATGGTCCAAGGGCAGGATAAACAGCACAGTTGATGAAGTGCTGTACAATCATGAGGACCTGCATTTGCATCCCCAGCAGCCTTGAAGAAGTCAGGTGTGCTAGGGTGCATCTGTAACTTCAGTGCTGGAGAGAGGGGGATAATGCCTGTGCTTGCTGGCCAAGTCTCTCCAAAGCTTATTGAGAGACTCTCTGTATTAGGGTTCTCTGGAGGAACAAAACTGATAGAGTGAATGAATATGTATGTATTAGTATATAATCTATAACATATTAAAATGAGGTTTATTAGAGTGACTGACAGGCTGTGGTCCAGCTAATTCAATCCTGGCCATCTCCTAACAAAAAGGCCAAGAATGCAATAGCAGATCAGTTCACAAGGCTCAATATTTCAGGCTGTCTTCAGTATACACTGAAATCCCAAAGTAGGTTCTAATGCCAATGAAGGAATGCCTCCGCAATGGGGTAGATGAACTTGCCAGCAAGAGTGAAAAACAGGCAAAAAGCAAAAGCCTCCTGTGCCCTTTTATGTGGGCTGCTGCCAGAAAGCATGCCCACATTTAGGGTGGCATCCTATCTCACATGGTCCAGCCAGGCAAACGCCCTCCCTCACAGGTGTGCCCAGCTTCTTGGGTTTTGGCTAATTGCAGGCATACTCAAGTTGACAACTCCAATAAGCCATCCTGCTTTGTCTCCAAAAATAAGTGGAGAGTTACTGACGAAGACACCTGAAGTTGATCTCTGGCCTCCACGTACATATGCTCATACACCACACACACACACACACACACACACACACACACACACACACACGCCTACCCTCAGGCTTTTTTAGAGGCGCTTTTGAGCACTAACCTCCCAACTCAGCATCTAATGACCCCAAAATGGAGAGAATAATGTCTTCCATCATTTCAGAGCTTTGCTAAAGTCATTGTGAAGCCAGACATTAAGCATTCGGAACTTGAGTTGTTATCCCATCTAAACCTAGCTATGGTTTTGTTAAAGGATTTCTCTGCGGTGCTGGGGACAGAGCCCAGAGCCTTGCTCATGCTGGACAAGTATCCAACCACCGAGTCCATCCCAGCCCCAGAAATACTAATTTCCTAGAGGTTTGTTGTTGGTTGTTTGCCAACATTGTGTGTTAGCACCCGTGCTATGGTGCACGTGTAGAGATCAGGAGACAACTGGGGGGGGAAGTCGGTGCCCTCCCACCACGTGTTTGCAGGTACTGAACTCAAAGTATAAGCTTTACTGGCTGGTGCCTGTATCCACTGAGCCATCTTAATTGCTCCAGAGACAGTACTTTTCACTAGGACTTTTGCCTAGAGACAGAAGTTCTAAACACAGGACATCCAGCAGGTAGATGACTTTGTCCTCATTTACTAGCCCTGTGTCTCCTAACCCACCTGTGAGCTAACAGCATCACAGCCTGAACCACTCCGGGTGCTGTGATGGGAGGGATACCTTTCATGACAGCTTTATGGAGTAGCCATAGCTTCTTTTAAGTGCGGGCTAGCCCGCTATGTGAAGAGTTGTAAAATGCACCGAGAGCCTACACACATCCCTCTCTAGCGTTGCACAGTGCAGAGGGGCTAACGTATTTCAAAATCTGATTTATTGCCATCTATTAAAATCTTCAGCAGGACAGACATAGTAGCTTACTCCTGTAATCCCAGCACGGGAGAGGCAGAAGCAGGCGGAGCTCAGTTGGAGGCCAGCCTGCTCTACATAATGAGACCCTATCTCAAAACAATTTAGAAAGCCAGCCAGGCCAGCATGAGACACATGAGCCCTTGTCTACAAACAAACAAACAAAAGAACAAAACTTTCAAAGAGTGTGAGAACATGTCTGAGAAGTCATTAAAAGAAGGGGAGGGGCAGCTGCTCAGGGATTGGCCACTGGAGGTTCACCTCACCCAAAGTCTTTCAACTCTGTAGCTCAGGGTAAACAGGTCACCTTGTAAGGCCTCACTGGTTAGTCCAGAGCAGCTAACTGCAGGAAGTCTCCACGCAGGTCCCGATGTTTGTTGTCCCAGGTGTGGAAACTGAAGGTGCGGATACATGTTTGCTCAAGAACAATGGCTCACATCTGTAATCCCAACACTCAAAAAGGTAATGAATTCGCAATCAACCTGTGCTGCATAGTTCCAGGGTGCTCGAGCTATGCAATGATACTCCATGAAAAAAAAGCGCACTTGCCTAGCAAATGGGTTCCATAGCCAACACTTAAAACAAAATCAGAGGGGCTGGAGAGATGGCTCAGAGGTTAAGAGCACTGGCTGCTCTTCCAAATGGTCCTGAGTTCAGCTCCCATCTGCAATGAGATCTGGTGCCCTCTTTCTGGCATGCAGGCACATAATTCAGGCAGAATAATTAATAAATAAATAAATCTTTTTTTTAAAAAAAATGTGTTTAAAAAATTATTGAATGGTAAATATAGTGGCTGCAGTGGAATCCCGTGCAGCCCGTGGACAGGAGATGAGCATAAGTGTGTGTGACTTCATGAGAAGAAAGTTGACCCAAGAGCTGGGAGATGCTCAGCTGCGAAAAGGCCCCGAGTTGCCCAAGACACACTTTTTTAAAGTGCCGAGCATAGTGGCACACACTTGTAATCCCAGTGCGGAGGAACTGGAAATGGGGATCAGCTTACAGTTGGCAAGCTCCAGGCCAGTGAGAGGCCATCAAAAAATAAGGTTGAATGGCACCTGAGGAATAACACCGGGGTGAGTGGTCATCTGGCCTCTACACATACATACACAGAGAGAGAGAGACAAAGATAGAGAGACAAAGAGAGAACTCAGTAAAAAAGTAGGCAAAGGTTATGAACAAACAATTCAAAGAAAAACAAAAAACGCAGCGAGCATTCCAGAAAAAATGTTCAGCTTCCTGTAAACCTGTATGACGTGAAAATGGCCCATTGGGGAACGGTATTGTCTCCCATGTGTGTTGAGAAATATTTTATTATTTGTACAAATATGTAAATGAATAGAAGCTCCACATTACACTGCTCTCAGCTGTTTGAAGAGAGGTGGTGAAGGACTTCCATGATCAGCTCTTTATCATGAGTCTTTCTGTAACAAACTTTCTGAAGATTGATTTTCAACCTTTCTATGTGTCTGTGTGTGTGGGATATATGCAAGTGAGTGCAGAGCCCACAGAGGCCAGAAGAGGGCATCAGATCACTTGGAACAGAAGTTGCAGGCGGTTGTGGGTGCTGGGAGCTAAACGGACTCCTCTGTAAGAACAGCGTGTACTCTTAATTAAGAAGCCCTCTCTAGGGCTGAGGGTGAGTCTTTTGGAGAAAGCATGTGTTTCTTCTCTTATGTAAAACTCTCAAGACAGGGTTTCACTCTGCACCTCTGGTTTAGACACTGCAGCTGGCTGAGAAAGACCCAGTCATCTACCTGCTGGGTTCCCCGTGACACACCAATTCAGAACTTCTGCATCTCAGAGCCTCTGAGCAGTGGCAAGAGTCTGAGTGAAAAATGACCGTCTCAGGGCCTACGGGTGCAGGCACATGCCACTAAGGCTCAAGATCTGAGTTCCCTGCCTAGAAAACGCTGGGCAGGAGGCATGCACCAAGTCCCTGACCGCCACACGTGCACAATGGCAAGTGTGCAGAAACACACGGAGTATGTGAGTAAATACAAAAGCATGCATACACAGAGAATATAGAAGTAAATACATATATACTTATCCACACAGCCTCTTCAGTGCTCAAGGTACAGGCATCTGCTGCCACCCCTGGCTTTATCTACTAAAAAAAAACTCTTTAAAAGAAACAAGGGCATTGATGAGATGACTCAGTCAGGAAAAGCGCTTCCCACACAAGCCTGACAACCTGAGTTTCCAAGCCTTGGAGCCCACGGGAGGAAAACAGAGCCCGACTTCTCAAAGTTGTCCTCTGACCTTCACATGTATACTTTGGAACATAAATGAGCAAACGCGCACACGCATCCCACACACATGCATACATACGCACACTTTTTTTAAAGGAAAAAAAAAAAAAAGGCACGTCCTTGAGAGACAAGTGAGGTGAGGAAAGGCTACCCAGTGTCCTGTGCTGGGCCGTGCTGACCATCTCCGGGGTTGTCCGAGGCAGGCTCCGAGTGGGTTTGGGCTCCTTCAGCTCTTCCAGCCTGCGAGTGTCGGGCTAGGAAGCAGGGGTGACTGCCGCAGCTGGCGTCCTTCTACCCCACAGCAATCTCTGCAAGACTGGCCTGCAGCAGGGGGCCGGACTCAGCATGGGGGTCATGTCGCAACAAGCCGAGGCCTTCCGTGGAGGAGGACGGTTCTAGCCAGGTGAAAGGCGGCAGCTCAGTGGAGGCGGCAGAGTGACTGAGCTAAGAAACGATGGGATTCTTGCTTGCGTGCTTGCTTGTATTGGGTTTGGTTTTTGACTCCTTTCAGGAGTGAATGTAGGAGGTTGAAGATCAAGGCCTCAGACGTGCTAGGTAAACACTTGAGCACTGAGCTACAGCTCAGCCTGAGGTGCTGGGGTGTAGACGGGTAGAAATGGCTGAGGAGGTGTATAAATGAGAGGAACTGTGTCAGCAAACCACAGGCTGAGGGGGCCCAGGATGAGGAGCAGCTCGAGCCAACAGGCAGGTGCCACTCAGGTGAAAAGCCATAGCGGGAACCAAGCTGCAAGGAGTGGAAAAGGCCAGTTGGGGGTGGCGGCTCCATGGTTGGCGGGCACTTGGCCACAAATGCCCAAAGCCTCGGATCCCATCCCTAACACTGCAAAAATTATTTTCAAAAACCCCATGCTCAGGGTT